CTAAAACAGCAAAGCTATACATTAACTCCAAATTGTTAAAACTAAAACAGTAAAGCTATACATTAACTCCAAATTGTTAAACTAAAACGGCAAAGCTATACATTAATTCCAAACTGTTAAAACTAAAACGGCAAAGCTATACATTAACTCCAAATTGTTAAAACTAAAACGGCAAAGCTATACATTAACTCCAAATTGTTAAAACTAAAACAGCAAAGCTATACATTAACACCAAATTGTTAAAACTAAAACGGCAAAGCTATACATTAATTCCAAACTGTTAAAACTAAAACGGCAAAGCTATACATTAACTCCAAATTGTTAAAACTAAAACAGCAAAGCTATACATTAATTCCAAATTGTTAAAACTAAAACAGCAAAGCTATACATTAACTCCAAATTGTTAAAACTAAAACAGCAAAGCTATACATTAACTTCATCCAAATTGTTAGAATAATAACTAAAGTGCACATAAATAATGTATGTGTGATAAAAATTTGTAAAGTGTGCTTAATGCATATTTAAATTTACTTGCTTAGATTTACAGAAATATTAATTTCACAGAATATGTGAGTGATCACTTTTATCTTTCTATTTATTCCAGCTGTGAGTTTTAGCACCAGTGTTCCTCTCTCGGTGCCAGGGAATCACGTACTTAACACATTCCTATATACTCTAGTACCATTATTAGGAATTACTCTTGTCCTTATAGTAGCTTACTGGGTGTACAGACACCATAAAATGGCTTACTTTAACGAGGTTCCCACTATAGATCCCTCTCCTCTTCCTCCTCCCTCACCTCCCCTTGGCCTGAAACCAGTACAGCTCCTGGAAGTAAAGGCTCAGGGAAGATTTGGTGCTGTTTGGAAAGCTCAAATGTTAAATGAATTTGTTGCTGTAAAGATACACCCTCCACAGGTATGAATTTTATGTGAATATTTAAAGCTGGTTGAACCAAACTCTTTTGCTAGTAAGAGATTTTGAATTAGTCAATTTGTTGGATACTATGAGTAGATATGCCATTGAACCAATTATAAACAGATAAAATCTTTGGGAAAGGGTTATGTAAACATTGGATGTGCAAGTATATAACCTACTAACTAGTGCTTTTTATTTTTCTGAGATTGTCATTATCAAGGTGTGTGTGTGTATATATATATATTTAGGTATGCTGAAACTGATACTGTCATTCGTACTGCTACTAATACTAGGTAATAAAAAAGTAAACTATCAAAAATGTAAAATTTTGTTTCATGAAAAATACATTTATTAAAATGGAAATAAAACTCATGGGGATAAAATAAGTTGCCAGGTGACCGATGATTGTGTAATTTGTATGTTCTTAGAAGTAGTATTTATTGTTTGACAAAACTGGTGAGATAATTTTGTTTTTTTTTTACCCCATTCAGGATAAAAACTCTTGGCAAGTAGAGAAAGAAATTTTCCAGCTGCCCCAAATGAAGCACGATAATATTTTATCCTTTATAGCAGCGGAAAAAAGAGGAGACACTTTTCAACTAGAGTATTGGCTAATTACAGCTTACCACGAAAAAGGGTCACTCAGTGACTATTTGAAGGTAGCAGCATCATTATTGAAGCTTTTACACTAAACTTCAAAGTTAATCAGTATCAAACCATCGTATTCTGTTTTGAGCTAATCTGCTTCTAATGTAAAGTACGAGTGAATTTTTATACAACTTACTCTTACATGGAATCATTTTACACAGTTTGTTGTATTAGGCTGACTTCTGTGGAGTGCGGATAACAATGAAGACATAAGTACGAGTGAATTTTTATACAACTTACTCTTACATGGAATCATTTTACACAGTTTGTTGTATTAGGCTGACTTCTGTGGAGTGAGGATAACAATGAAGACAATTTTTCTGAATTTCTAACTCACATTGAGATAGTTTTTATGTAATATATTAAGCCTATCCACATAAAATTGATGTATTTTTGTTTAATTTAATTTTAGAAGGTAAATTAACACAGTTTATGGAGTGAAATGTGTGTCACTTTCTATTGTAAGAATGATTTGTAAGTGAACTCCTTAACACGTATAATTTATGATCTGGTGGTTCAAAGCCCCGTCACACTTAACATGCTTGTCCTTTCAGCTGTTTTTTATTGTATATGTATTATAGTTGTTATGGCTATAAAATAGTAAGGTATTAGATATTCCTGTTTGTGTAAGCCATTGAAAATTTGTTCATCTAGGCGAATGTGGTTTCGTGGTCAGAAGTCTTGAGCATCACTGACTCTATATCAAGAGGTCTCATGCATTTACATGAAGAATTACCACCAACCAGACTGGAAGCTTACAAACCATCTATAGCACACAGAGATTTCAAAAGTAAAAATGTCCTCTTGAAGAATAACATGATAGCATGCATTGCAGATTTTGGTTTAGCCTTGGTTTTCTTAGCAGGGCAGTCACCAGGAGATACTCATGGACAGGTATTTTGTTATTTTTTGTGTGTGTGATTCTGCTATACCTAAATAATCTAGAGAAGATTTCAGTGATAATGAAGTCCAAACACTGTTAAAAAAGAGTAGGGTTTACTGTCACTAACAGTTTTCCTCTGTGTGACTACACATTCTTTACACTATAACTGAAGATTAATTGAACATCTCAGTTTTATATTACTCACTTGATTAAGTTCAAAATAATCCACATGGAATGAATACTTGAAAAAATGGTATTCTATATTTGGTTACATCTGATTGTCATATTTTAAACACAAGGTTTTCAACATGGACAAGTGCCTGTCTTTGAATTTGAATAAATGCTCTGCAGTGTTATACATTTACAGAATGAAACAGTTTTTCTCATACTTATGTCTTGTTTCATAAATTTTAAAGATTTACAAACATCTTTTTCTTTCTGAAACTTTTAAATTGCGACTTACTACTGTACCTTTCATTGTAACCAATTTTTTGTTCTTAATTTTAGCAGCCAAACCTCTTAACATTTCACATCTTAAAGGTTTTATTTTGTGTTTTCAAGGCTATGTAAAGAACACAACTATCCTGTTTATTAAAGATATTTTGTGAAAACTGGACCAGGCAACTCAGCAGAGCAGTTCTGTAAATTTTGAAGTGTTAACTCATTGTTGGTGTTAACTCTTTTCAGCACAGGCTCGGTCCCTGGGACTGACCTCGTAACCATTTTTGATTGTTATAGTTTTCATGTATAACTTTTAAATTAATGAGCATATGTTAACAAAATTTGGCAGATTATCAGTAAACATTATGATGCTTTCATACTCAAAAAATCTGATTTTTTTATTAAATCCTAAGGTTTGTAAAGCAATGTTTTTCTCATGCCTTTTTTTTTCTTTTCGCATATTGCCTACTCAACATGCAAAGTAATTCTCAGTTTTAAGATTAAACTTTTATGCATCAGAAAATTTTCAAATTTCTCATACTAAAATCTTTATAATGTCCAGATAATTATCAAACATGTCTTAAGAAAAAACTTTATATTTTATCAGTTATTTTCAGTAACAAATCTTTGTATTGGGATCGGTAGTATTTGACCTAATACGTTCGTTAACCACCATAAAAAATT